GCGGAAAGCTCTCGTGGTTCTGAGGGGTGCGCAGGACACCCCGCCCATCCTCCGAGAGTCAGTGCATCCTCTTCCCTAGAGATTTTTAGTGTGTGTCCAGACCAGACTTTGTGACCTAAGAAACAAGGTGCAGAAAGCTCTCGTGGTTCTGAGGGGTGCTCAGGACACCCCGCCCATCCTCCGAGAGTCAGTGCATCCTCTTCCCTAGAGATTTTTAGTGTGCTCGTTGTCAGAGCTGTGGAGAAGGGGGGATAACTCCGGGGATGACCATGATGAACAGATGAAAGTGGAGGAACAAGGGGAACGAACGTGCTGAGTGGGGAGGAGACATGAGGTGGGCTTTACAGGGGATCCTGCCTCTACTTATCCAGAGGGACCACCCCCCTGGTCCTCTTTGTCCTCTGTGAAGAGACCAACAAGGAGGGTTTCCAGCGTTCCTTACAAGCATATGGGACCACAGTCATGATGGTGACAGGAACAGTGGCAAGTACTGATTTAGCACATGTTAGTTATTCATCAGCAACTGGGCTAAGACTTTGCACACAAGGAGAACTTAATCCTCACCACGACTGTGAAATTGGTGCTGTTACTCCCTCCATTTTACAGGTGAGAAAACCCAGCTCAGCAAAGTCAGCACAGTACGCCCAAGGTCACAAAACTTACACGTGGCCCAAGCGAGACAAACACAATTGTTTCGCTCCAGGATCTGCACAGTCAACCACCCTGCTACACTCTTGGCTTCTGTGGGAACGCACGTTTGGAGACTTTTATGTAGTTCTGCTGAGCGACTGGGCCCCAGCTGGGGTGAGGGACAGAATACAGGCACCAGAGCTTCTACTCCCAACACTGGAACAACTCAGCAAAGTGACCTTATCCTCTGATCCTCAGACATCACCACCAACATCTGCTTCACAACACAGCCATGAAACTGAATAAGTGCTAAAGGTGGACAAGTATTCTGAAAGGTAGAAAAAACAATCTGATTTCTACCTGACTCCTCAATTAAGTGCCTATCATGCACGTTATTCCCAAGCAGCCTCTGTCGAGGACACCATCCGGGCTCCCAGCTAGTCCCAGCTGGGAATGTCCTTCCCCCTAAGCTCCTGGCTTCAGAACCTCCTGAGGTCTTTAGGATGGAAATGGGAGGAGACCAGGAAGAGAAGAAAGCCTAGGATGACGTGTCCTCTTTGAATTGATCTCCCTTCCATTTAAGTCTTATATCACATTGTTTCCATGTATACTTTTTACATGAGGTTTATATACCAACCCAGGGCATTGTATAACATACAAGTTCACAATAATATTCTCACACACCGAACACGAATAAACACAAACAAGTTCGTGAGTTCTTACAGGGTAAAGATTATGTCTTCGTTTTTTTCGATTGTCCGCACTTCCAACCGAGCGCTCTGCACACTGCGGCTACTGCCAATTTTACCCACGTGACTCGGACTGCAGCAATAATGAGGGCAGTTTCGACGTATGGTTTGAGGGAAACAGCGCACAGGTAGGTTTGGAGCAGAGAGCAAATTAAGATGGAGAAAGAACTTTGGCCTCATCAGCACATCGTTCTTTTAGTAGCTTCATCCCCCGGTGAAGCTGGGAGCTGAAGCGGGACGGCGTGCGTCTGGAGTCTGAACTGAGTAATACCATCCGTCTTCTTGAATGATCGGAACTGTGTATTACCTGCCTGTTTTGCTCACACAGTGTTCTCGGATGTGCTGTGGGTTGTCAGGCTAGCCTTCCTCCCATCAGCAGTGTCCCAAGTCCACGACCCACCTTGCCTCGTCAGTCCCTTCTCACGACAAACGGGCTCAAGGCCCCACTTGGTGAAGGTACCATGGGAGGTCCAAAGACCCCACAGTCACCAGACCTGGGCATGCCCCCAGTACCGCACACTTCAGTGGGGGAGATACGACCTGTTTATAAATCTCTCCATCCAGGTCGAAAGTAAAGAGTCCTGCAACACGCAGCTCAGCCAAAGACACACTGGAAGGTGGTGAGGAAAGATGAAGGTGGGCATTAAAAGAAAGTCACAGGGGCCGGCCCGGTGGCGCACTGCTACAGTGCTCCGCTTGGGAGCGCGGTGGCGCTCCCGCCGAGGGTTCGGATCCCACATACAGACCAGTTCCCGCTCACTGGCTGAGCGAGGTGCGGGCACAGCGCCGAGGGTTGCAATCCCGTTGCCGGTCCCAGTCCGGTACGGGTGCGACACTGAGGGATGCGATCCGTTGCCGGACACGGAAAAAAAAAAAAAAGACAAAACTCCATGTATGGCAGCATCCAACTTTAGACGTATACTAAATACACACATATGCATGCAGAGAGAAGACTTCAGAAGATAATTTGGAAAGTGGTATCTCTGACTAGAATGGATTTAAGTGTATTATTCCTTCATTTTGTTCTTTGTGCTTTATATCACTAACATGTATTAGTTTTGTAAAGAAAAAGCAAATAAGTTATTAAAAACAAAAGCTATATAAATTTACTTCAAGGCCTCACTCAACTCCATACATCTGCTTAAAGCTTTTCATGACCACCTTTGCCCTAAATCATAGCCATTTGAGCTGCACTACACTGCAGGGTACTTAATAGTCTCACATGAGACATGTCGGGCATTAGACACAAGGCATTTGGAGAAGTCCTGATAACCACGACACTGGCGTTTCCTTGCACTGTGCTCCTATCTCCCCCATGACCAGCACAGCTTCTTATTTACCGCAGTCTCAAGCTCACAAAACATCTGTTGATGAGGTTGAATACAAACTAAGTCAAGAGTGTGGGAGGTTAACTTAGTTACTTTCAAATAACCACAGAGAAGGCTATAGGAGAATCAGGAAACCCACCATAAAAATCACGTTTGCACAGTAAGCTAAATTTTACAAGGAAAAAGGGGCCTTTGTACCCTGAAGACAGAGGTACCAGCTGTGTGCCCATGGGCACCTTGGTAGTTAATGCTCCTTAGCTCTCTATTAGTTTTCCAATATACTATAATACAGTTATAAAAAAAATTACTTCAAATTTAGACCTTAGACAGAACAACAAATTCTCAGGCTTTAAAATGGATATATTGTCACTAGGAATACGTTGTTGAACTATCAACCTAATACCAAAAGGATTTCTATTTTTTTTTCCCCCTGGGCAACTCTTTCAATATAGAAATTTTATATACACAGAGAGAAAAGGATTTTTTTTTCACAACTTTTTTGATGCCTCTGTGCTGTATAAACTTGATGCCAACACTGCACACAGGAGGTGACCAGCAGTAGGAACGCGGGCTCCCAACACCTCCTGTCTATGATTTGAATGCATTAATTTCTAAAATCCTATCTCTTGATGGTAAGAAGGGTCCTACTGAACTGGAAAATATCCACAGTGTTCCTGACGTGAAGTTGAAACCACCTGGTCTCTGGAGGGGGCGTTGGGAGGAGTCTCAGGCAGGAGAGTTATTTATTCGTAGGCTACTTACATGTGGGGTTTGGGCTCAGCACCAACGGAGCAAAACTGCAGACAGGCGACAGCAGCAAAGGAGACACCTTCTAGAGAGAACTGCTCACCTCGAGGACCTCCAAGTTTGGCTTTGATACATCTACACACAGTCACGTGTTATTTATCTACAGGTTAAATATCCCTGATCTGAAATGCCTGGGACCCAAAGTGCTTCAGATTTTGGATTTCTTCAGATTCTAGAATATTTGCAGAATACATACTGGTTGAGCATCCCTAATCTGAAAATCCAAAATCTGAAATGTTCCAGTGATATTTTCTTTGAGCATCATGGTGGTGCTCAAAAAGTTTTGGAATTTGGAGCACTTTGGAGTTCAGATTTTCAGATTAGGGATGCTCAGCCTGCAGAAGGTAACCTCACAGGGTTTCATGAAGATGCTAGTGACTGCTCCAGAAAACAGCTCTTTGAGAGATGGCGTCTGCTTTGTCTGTGTCATACACCACTGTCTGGACACCGGTCAGTCTTCCACACTCATGTGGACTGTTGACCCTTCCGAGAGGACTTTACCGAGGTGTCCTTACTGTGGCTTCATAGGGAAACGAATAAGTAAACAAATATTGATGAAGTCAGATTATTCCTAAAGATGAACTTGGTTGTCTAATATACCAGTGGGAGCTCATATACATATAAACAATTATTTTTAAACTAAGCTTGGATGTCAACGTTCAGAAACTAAGGAGGCAATATAACAGTTATCTTAAGTCATTCCTTCTATTCCATAATGATCAGAACATCCCATTTGCATTTCCTTTCTGTGTTTAAAGAAAAGTCTGCATGAACGCAATGCGTCTGCTGCGCCCCGGCTCCTCGCCTGCACCGCAGCCCTGACCTGCTCATAAGGCAAGGCCGCCTGCTGCACTTGATCTTACACTCTTCAGTGGGCCCTCCAGAAACAAGCCTAGCAGACCCCACTCAAGGGGCGTCCCGACCTCATCCTGCCTCATGGGCTCCTTCCTGTCTGCCTGCGCCCCCCTCTCTGACAAGGCCTGCGTCCAGAACCACTGTCATCACATCCCTCGCCTGCTCCATTCCTGCTGCTCCGCTTCTTCACTCTCCAACTCCCTAGCTTCTGGTGTCCCCTCAATTTTGAAGACCACTTCCAACGTCACCTGATGCGCTCCCCATCTTAGGCCCTCCCTCCACCCCATCAGCCTAACCTAGCTGTCCTCCTGTAAATTCCTGCAGTTCCTTGGGACACACCATCAGAATACTGCCCCCAACTCTGAGACACCATTTACGTGCTGTCTTCGAGGAGCTACTTCCTGCAAGAGAAAGGCTGTTTTTTTTAGCAGTGCCTCGCCAACACTTGACATACATGGGCCAACAGTAATGAAAAGTGTCAACCTGTATCTAAAAGAAGATAGAAAAACAAACCGAAGAGCCACAAGTTCATGTTTATAAAAAATATCCTGATAATTGATATCTCAGTTGGTGCTATAACTCAATTGTCCTCTACTGACAGCATTGGTTACTGCACATCCACATCCCTCGCCTGCTCCATTCCTGCTGCTCCGCTTCTTCACTCTCCAACTCCCTAGCTTCTGGTGTCCCCTCAATTTTGAAGACTACTTCCAACGTCACCTCCTCGTCGGGGGAGTCCCCTGATGCGCTCCCCATCTTAGGCCCTCCCTCCACCCCATCAGCCTAACCTAGCTGTCCTCCTGTAAATTCCTGCAGCTCCTTGGGACACACCATCAGAATACTGCCCCCAACTCTGAGACACCATTTACGTGCTGTCTTCGAGGAGCTACTTCCTGCAAGGGAAAGGCTGTTTTTTTTTAGCAGTGCCTCGCCAACACTTGGCATACATGGGCCAACAGTAATGAAAAGTGTCAACCTGTATCTAAAAGAAGATAGAAAACCAAACCAAAGAGCCACAGTTCATGTTTATAAAAAAATCCTGATAACTGATATCTCAGTTGGTGCTATAACTCAATTGTCCTCTACTGACAGCATTGGTTACTGCACATCTTTTAACTTTCAAGCTTTATAAAAATTTTCCTTATTTGAATATCCATATACTGTCAGTGAAATGCCCATGCCATGTGTATGCGGTAGGGGAGGCTCTTCACAAATACCAAAATCATTAAAATCAAAAGGAGAAAAAACATTTTGAAAATGCTATAACCCAAACCAGAATGACTGCTAATACAAACAGACCCCTTCCCAAATGTGAGTGGGTCACAAGTAATGGCTCAACTCAAAGCGGCCACAGCAATACTGTTTATTCTCCATTTGGGGCTTAAAAGCATTTTAGCTGATGAACAGGCCCTGAAGCAGAAACATCTAAACCCATGCTAATGCCCAGCAGAGCAGTAACCTCTTTTGATTAATTTGCCAGTACTGAAAGCACAAGGAAGACATCAAACCACGTTCTGTACTAAACGATTAAACAAGCAGCCGATGCCTGCAGAGTGGTGTGCGTCAGGATGAAAGCTGGATGGGGTCGGATGAAAAAGCAACAAATATCTTACACTGATGAATGCATACAGGATTCCCCCCCCTACAACTGTCATAACATTTCATTCAGTGGTCAAACCAAAGAGTTTCTATAACATTTACAACAGAAAAAAAGTTCCAAAAAGCTTAAGAAAATTCAGATGTGTCATGGGGAGAAAAATCAGGTCATTCAAAACAGTTTGGCAGAACTCTGACCAGTCTGCTGAAATACCTTCAACGTGAAATAGCATAGGGGGAAAAACCTTATCACCTCTTTTTATCAGAAGATAATTTTTCTGGGGCCGGCCCGGTGGCGCACTGGATAGTGCGCCGCTTGGGAAGCGCAGCGGCGCTCCCGCCCGAGGGTTCGGATCCCACATACAGACCGGTTCCCGCTCACTGGCT